TGTCAAAAAGAGTCAGTCTGCTGAAGGAAGATGTAGCTGGGAGTAATACAGGAACAGCTCGAACCAAATCCAAATAATGGTAGGAAATTGCCTTAGGATTTACAGAATTCGGACAGAGGGATATCACAGGCAGTGATTTTGTGCATAAAATCGAGCATAGCCATAGAAATTTTTTCCTTGGATAAAACATAGGAAAGAACCACTTGGGGGAGCTAAGGAAGACTCGGAGGAGTATGTGGACTCAAGTAGGGTACAAAAATCCAAAAACTATCAGCATCAGATCCTCTAGAATCGAAACCCTAAAGGTACTTTAGAGCTGTTAGCTGAACAGGCCCATGGGTCTGCTCATTTTGTGCTTAGGATTCAACATACTGCAGTACAACCAAGGTAAATAAATATACAAATAGTGTCCTTCGGTACTCAAAAAACAACTGTGAAAACAGGAAAGGCTATATGGCTGGAGGTGACCATGCAGAAGCAATGACAAAGTGAGGCAAACACATAATCCTTGGGAGGAGTAGTGGGAGAAAATTCCTATGCCGAAAGAGGCACTGTGAGTGCGTGTGCAACACTGCTGTGAATTCTCCAATGCCATAGATCTTTCAGAGTAAGAGCAGGAAAAATGGTAATTATGTGTCATGCTCATATGGGGCAAGCACCTGACTTGACCTAGTCTCAGACCTGGAGAGCATCCTGTTACTAACAAGTAGGGTATCAAAGTACTGCAGCATTTTTCATCCCTACTGCATATGTACTCCTGAGGGAGTATTTGGGCATGAGGATCACACCAGAGGCTATCACATGTCCCTGGACCTGTAAAGCACTCTGTGGCTAACAGTCTAGTACACTAGGTGTCTGAGGAGCACCACAATCCGAGTGCCCAATGGTCACTTTACAGGCAGGCTCTCCATCTTCATCTTGGCAGGGGGTCCCTTGCATGGCCTCCAAGGCAGCACCAAATATTTGCATACCTACAGATATATCTACAGATCCGGTGTCCTTGATTAATGATAACGTAACCACTGTTTTCTATGTAAATGTGTGCATAAAGATGAGAATGTGTGCAATATTAAAAATAAATGTGAATTATTTCTCTCAAATTTGTCTGCACATTCCATTTTTAAGAGATAATAGTTTCTATTCTTCTTCCTTGAGATCAGCCCAAGTCTTGGGAAAGTTCCTACTCTTTCTGAAACAGCTGTACTATCCCCTCTACACGGTGGGAACACATTCGACCTAGAGTATTACAATGAAAGTATTAACAACTGCCCTTTCTTCCCCACAACCACCAGAATTATCCTTTTATATTTCAGCAGTCATTTCCTAGAAACCTGAATGTGCGCAATAAGCCCAATTTCCTAGGGAAATTGGGCTTATTGCGCACATTCAGGTTTCTACCCACATGCTGTGAGAGGTGAGTCCACATTATAGGTATCAAAACTGTAAAGGGTGAGAATTAAGCTCCATCAAAACTGTGGCCTGTCCCACATTTTAGGACATAATAGATGTTGTCAAGGTCTTGTTGTGCATGGAAGGTGGTATGGGTACCTAGAGTTAACATGTCTGCTAAATTTAGATATTTATTTTGATCAGTTTGCTGCTGATTGTGAGTTGACGGAAATCAAAATCACTCCCTCTAAACTCAAGAAAACAGTAGCATTGTAGAGGAACAGAGTGTTCCCTCTCTGGATCAAAAGATAAAAAAACGAATGGGTAAATAGTTGTAGTTTTACTGGACGCCATAATGATGAGCATCAGAGAAGTGTTAGCTTGGTGTCTGTGGGTGAATGCAGCAGAAATTACATTTCTCCTCATAAAAGGAAGAAAGTGGTATTCCGGGAGCATCACAAAATCTAACTGTAGCCTCTTCAAATTGACAGGTGCCAGATTAAGAGGTCTGACCTCCTCATATGGATGCCACTTAGGAGGCTCCCCAAGGAGTTGTACCATGCATGTGCAGTGGTGAGGGGGACCTTAGGCAGAACATACAAGCAGGATTATATCTCCCACATGGCCTGACATTACCTTACAATCCTTCATTAAGAGGACTAACCTGTGTGATCTACTTCCAATGCAACACCTCTAAAAAAAAGTGGTCTAAAACTGAGGACAGTTATGATCCCCATACACTTTTTATGGCCAATAAATTGCATATAAGGCTTCAAAATGGGGACCTTTAATTTTCTGAGTTCTACCCCCATAGACTTGCATTGAGTTCTAAGTTCGAGTTAGAACTTTTTCCATGTTCGAAAGTTCGAGTTAGAACCGAACACGGGGGTGTTCGGCTCATCACTAATGATAAAGTGATTTTAATTTGAATAATGCCTGAAGGCAAATAATAAGCTTTGACAAAATGAACTTAATTATTGAAGCTGGTCAGCAAGAGCTTCATGGTCCAATGGGTCTTTCTCTCCTTTGGAAGTTTTCTCCCTTGGAAGTAATAGCTTAATATACTGAGATGTTAGCAAAATAATTGTCATTTGCAATTTCTTAGGATTTAGCTGACTGTTTAGGCATAATAAAATGCATAATGTGCATTTATGCTTTTCTTGTGTCAGTATGTTTGTGTGTAAAGAGGCTACTCAACTTTGTAACAAACCACAAACATTATGAACAACCTAAATATTTTGACTTTGTGAAACTGTCTGCCTAGGTAGTACACTTATTGCAACTAGTATAATACTGTATATAAACATATTTGATACAAAACTACAAATTAACTAAAAATAATGACTTGAGTAATGAACTGTATTTCAGCTGTTATCTATTTTCCATCAAATACATCTTTGTTCATTTTATTGTGGGCCTATCTCCCTACCCAAACCTCAAACAGGAGCGGTCAGATGAAAGTGGACAAATCCCTTAAAATCAGTAATGTGGTAATAATGTATCAAACTCTGTGCCATGTAATGAGTTCTAGAGGAGACATCTCAGTTCTATTGATTGATGTGTATTCTGTGTATCCATGCTTAACTCAGCCGTGTTCTAATCAGAGCTGCAACATTTCAGCAGCATCTTTTATAGCATACCTGCTGTGCCTTCTCTCACTCCTCTCACAGAATGTATTTCACAATCCTTTAAGAATAGCCCTGGATAAACATGGCTCCCATCCGCACATTCAGCACTGAGCCGAAGCAAATTTGTCATACAAAGCTGAGTCCGTTTCCGCTTCAAGTAACAAACCTACCATTTCCTCTTATCATTGGGCATCTAGGTATGTGCTTATTTTTTCCGAGAACATGCTGTGCCGCTATAGCATACTCAGTTGTGACTCCGGTATATTAATGAAATTGTAATGGAAAAAGGAAATTGCATACAACTGGTAATATCACCGTGGCCTATATATCATTTTTGTTATGTTTTGTCACAGAATCTTAAATTTTTTTCCCCTATCTTAACTTCCACAAACACAAATGACGGATTTCTCTCCATATTCTCGGCAATGACATTTGCCGTAAATTTAATTTATAATAGTGTACCAAGTATCCAGTGCAGCACTGTCATTGAGATTATTGAAATGATAGTTCTGCGAGATGATCTATCAGTCCAAACGGCAGGACTTGGACCAATCTCGTCTATATTAAAATTACCTGCGCTGTAGAAAGCTATAACTCTTCTTCTTTCTCTTACAAGTTTGCCTTCTGTTTTGAGTTTTTGTAAATAATTGCATTCTGCTGATCAGAAACAAATTCTAATGTACTCCACTCACCCTGCCATTGATCACTGGAAGCGCTAATATTGGAACTGAAAATATGTTTATGTTTCAAACTAACTGACATCTTTATAATACAAATCCTGTACTCTCAGCCTGGCATGCTTTAATACGAAGATCACAATTTACTAAAGTGCAGTTTTCCTGGGATGTGAAAATCCTGCAATTAAATTGTATTAAATTTGCAATTCTCAAAAGTGCAATTTTATCTAGATTTATGCTTAGCTCACAACTTTGATGTCATTTATCAGAGATGAATGAATGTTCGGCAGATTTACTGGCTTCGTTTAAGGGTTCCAGCAGTGAGCCGAAACACATCGCTGAGAAAAAGAACATGCTTAATTGCAATATGGCAGTGGATTCTTCACTGGTTGCATCAGTTTAACATACAGCACTTATATCAGAAAGTACTGAATAATCATTGCAATAATAAACGAAAAGATTTGAATGCAGGCATTTACAAGTATTACAATTACCTGGAAGAACCAATAAAATATTCTTCAGCAGTACTGGGTAGATGTAAGCACATCCCTTTTTTTTAAAGTAGCTCTTATCCCAATAACTAAAATCTGACATAAGCTTAAACATGTGAAAGCAATTGCAAATGTTTAATTCTTTTAAATCTGCATCTTTTATTAAAAGAATACCTGGTAATCCTGCCATGAAGGTTCCAATTCAAGCATTTGCATTTATGGGTGACAACGGTCTCCCAGTTGAGCTCCTGCATTTTCATCCTGTCACATGTGGCCCGGATGGAAATTACATGCAGCCAAGCTGACGCACCATGTCCAGGCATGGTCTACCTGCAAAGTTATGGCTTATGATACACTTCTATATATTAGCATCCTAAAAAAAATATTCTTATTCTTATGTGACGGGTAAATAGAGCATACCATACAATAGTGGGTCACATATTCATACCTTTAATAGTAAATAGTGGATATTACATACATTTACTAAACAAAATATTTATCATCAATTCAAGCGAGTCCCAATCTTCAGGTATTTTTACTAATATTACAAATTAAAAGGATTTGTCCACCCATGTTTGACCACTCCAGTATTAGATGAGTAAACAGGGCCTACCATTATGATGAACAATTATGTATTTGCTGCACATCAAATTATATACAGTATTTCCTCAATAGGGTTGTCTGCCTCATAGAGAGAAATAAACAGCAGATTGTATTAGCATATTTGCCTACAAAAGGCTATGCTCCAGGATGTTTTCATAGAGACATGTAGCATGGAACTGAATGTTGATGAAATAAAAGCATACAAGACTTACTCTTGCGTCTCCAGCTGTCTTCTAAGCTTTATATTCAGTTCTTGCTGTTCAGCACCATTTTCCTTTACAAACCAAAGGGATAAAACAGCTTAATCATAAAAGTAATTTGAACTTAATGCTAGTAAAATGTACAATGGTTAACTTTTTTTTTCCAGAGGACAATCTAAGGTCGCATAATGCCCCAACATGCCTAGTGCCAGCAACATATTTTCAGCGGTCATAATGTAGTAACACACAAGCTAGTGGAAGGAACCACTGCTATACATTGCTATACAACACACCTGAAACTATAGGATAGCAGCAGCTCCCAGAGCTCTTCAAGAGAGTGAAGATTTTAACACAACACTTGCCTACCGCAAAGGTAAGTTTAAAACTTCCTATTCCTTACAGGGTGAGTGATTTTTTTCCCCCTGAATGACAGAGTGACTAATATTCATTTATACAACAGAATATTTTTTTTTTTAAAGTAGATGGCATAGGCTATGAACGCATGGAACAAAGTGTACAAATGCAGAAACCATAGCAACTAAACAGAAATCTCTTTAGTTAAGTCAAACCAGTACATAATGGGCATATGTGAATAATGATTCCCCTTTTATGCTGGTCATTTTCCACATGCTCCTTCTTTTTTATCCTAAACCATCTTAAAGCAAAAAATCTTAGGGGCATGCAGCTCTGAATGCCAATGTAAAAAACATGCTTAACCTGTTCTCCCCAGCATAACACATATACATGGTGCCACATTGGATGGGCTTCAATGCAGAGCCACTGCACATATGTGTCAAAGCATAGTGACTGAGCTACCAGTCACCATTTTACAATTGGAAACTGGTGGGACATCCTCCCGATCATGATCGGTGTGACAGCCAAACACAGTGATCACAAAAAAGGGTCAGGGGTTAGGTTATAATAATAAAAAAACTTTGTAAATTGTTTTCCAATTCCTGGTATTGTGAGGCACTGGTGACGTCAGCAGGGCCTCACAGGTGCCCCCCGGGAAGGCTATGTTACCAGTGTATTCCAGGAAGATCTTGTTTGTAAACCACACGTTCTGGGGGAAAAAAGGCTTTTTTTTTAACAATGAGTGTAATGTCGTATGGTGCATGTGCAAAAAGAGGTGATTACTCATCTAGCACTTGGCTGTACTACATTACACTCATTTCTTGAAGAAGAAAAAAAAGAAGCATTTCCGCCCCCTGAAATCTTTTTTTTCAGTTTAATATGGAGCATGTGCAAGATGAGGCACAAACACCGCTAGTGAGCAAGCAGGGAACAAGTAAGAAGATACCCGCTGCCAATTAGTTTTTTTTAAAAATATAGGTGTGCCTTCTGACCCACAAGGGACATAGAGTGCTATGACTAGGGAAACAGTGCAAGAAGAAGGCATGTACGCACATTGTTAGTTTTAGGAAATATATTGCATTGATGCGTTTAGATTTATTAATAAAATTAAAACTAGAAGGCACTATTCAAAGCAGGATTCTATGTGCTTTACATGCAGAGGTACAATTGCCCTGTATAGCCCCCAAATCAAAATCCTATGTACCCTCCCCATTTTATTCTTTGGCTGGAATTGCCTATCTGTCCAGACAATGCAGTAATACAAAATACAAAACACGTTTAAAAAGGACAGAACACAAGTTGTAACTTACATTATATTTAAAATATGACACTGTAAATAGATATAACATGAATTACCCACCAAGGATCCATTTGTTTTGCAATAAGCAGTCTTACATTTTCCCTTTGCCATCATTGCATGGAAAATCACCACTGCATGAGCCCAAATAAATGTAAATCTTTAGATGAACATAAGTCAAACACAAATATTGAGCATGTGTATGTGTTGTAAAGAAGTACATCTCTAATATAGGAATGGAGTTCTGGAAGCCAACATGTTTCAGGAAGCATGCTCTCACTTCATCACGGCTGTTAAAAACAACTGCAGTAGGGTGTTAGCTTAATAATATTCTGCTTACCTGTCAGAGAGAAGGAATTACCTCGCTGCAACATCCATGTACAAAAAACCCTGGACATCACTAGGCTGTCTCTTTCAAATATGTAGACAGATAGTATCATTTACTCTAACACACCTACTGCAGTAGAACACAGATGAGCATGGCTCAAAAACACGTTGGCTTAATTAATAACATCTCACTACCTTACAACACATACAAATGTGCAGAATTGTTTATGCTCCACATTTATCACCATAATAACAATCAACCTGGAATATTGAGTTTTGTGCCAGTGTTGCTTTTCATACAAGCTTTACTTAGTGATTCACTGAAATGAGCAACTGTAAAGGTAAAGAAGTGATTCATGGAGCAAAAACGCATGATTTCAGAATCATGATCAGTGAGGTTTTTTTCTCCATACTAATCACTTGGAATAAAAGCAGAGATGCTGCTGAAGTGAAGTTGCTTGCACAATAACACACAGATAAAATGTGAACATTATTATGGTAAGGTGGTCAAAAGCCATATCTTGCATTAGGTGTAATATTATCTTTTAAACATGAAGTGGTTGCAAGAGAAGCATGAATAAATATTAAGAAAAACCCTCTAAGCTTCTTTGCTGCCCCTTTTTACATTGCTGCGCTAGGCAGTGTCCCCCGGGACCTTTTGGAAAAGCCCTTTTTGATTCCCACAGCAGCCAGATTCTCCCAGAGTCATACCACACTAGAAGAATGAGAGGAGCAATTTCATTAGCTGCAGTAGGGAATAAGAACATATATTTTATTAGGCTCTTTTATTACTTTAAACACCTGATTATAAGAGGTCTGTGATTACATAACAGCCAACAGCAGTGCAGGGTGTTTTTTTAAATATATATATATATATATTTGTAGGATTTTTTCAAAATTGGAAACAACAAAGGTGTATTATTTCAAGGGTTTTCTGGGTATCATTTTATATATCAATATCTTTACCTTTAGTTGTTCATTTTCAGTTTTCATTTTCTCCAAGTCAGCTTTAAAGTTAGTAACCAAAGCTAACAATGCCTCTTCTTTTTTCTGGAAATTGCTGTAGTAAAATAAAAGCATCACGTATATTAATTTTTGGGATATAATAAGTAACAAACCTTATCCACAACTGTATATATAATCCCAAGCAGGATGAGGGGCTTTTTTAGTGAATAGGATATACATATTTCCAAATGAAACAAAAAAGAAATCAGGACACCTAAACCTGTTTTTCAGTTACCAAACCTTGCCACTTATTTTGGCCACATTTAATGAACTCACGGTCCATTGCTTTAAAGTACTCCAATGATGGGGAAACAAAATTTAGGCACAATATGACAAAAAGTGTCAGCTGCAAGGAGCTGTTGTAAATGACAAATCATAATGGTTATGGTAGGCCAGTTCATTATTGGAGATTGGAGTCTAAAGGCCAGTTCAAACAGTGTGTTCCAGAGCAGTCAACCTCTGGAATGCACTGTATCGCAACCCAGCCGACTCCCTGTTCAGGGGCAGGAGGGGGCGGGGTGGTGCATTGAAGCCAATGGCACTGCAGCCACGCCCCCTGCCCGCAGTGCGATTGCCTGCACCTGAACGTGTGGCACATTAGTGCCTGCGTTCCGGTCCAGTGCGATCTGCAAAAATGCTGCAAGTACTATTTTTGCAGATCGCACTGGACCTAACGCAGGGACTGATGTGCCATGCGTTCTGGTGCGGGCAATTGAACTGCGGGCAGGGGAGTGGCTGCTGTGCCACAAGGCTAAGTTCATTTTGCCTTGTGGCACAAGGTTTGGCTAACCCAGTCCGCTAACCTCAAACATAATGCTGAACCCCACTGTAGTCTGTGGGAGCCGACGTTATTTCTTATGGCCTTTTTCAAGGCTAATTTGAAAACTTTTGTACAAAAATAAGAGCATGGGTTGCTTGGCACTGCCATGGGGGGCATGTAACAATGCAAACAAATGCAAAAAAAGGCCATTCAGTGGGGAGAATGTCTGTAAATAACATGCTTTAGGAATGCCTTAAACCTGCATATGACGTTGTACATTGTACTTCTTTGTAAGGGACAGATATCTGCCCACCCCATAGGTGAATAAGTATGGTGTACCTAGTCCCCCTTGTTACTCATTTACACATAAATACGTAAATACCTCCACCCCCCCAGCCCGTGAACAAAATTATTTAACTGAATTTAAAAAAGCAAAAAATATATATATTTGTTAATCTACAATATTTCAAACATTTTAGAAGTCTCACAGTCTTTTGTGATATGGCATTAAACCCTAGCAGTCTCCTTTAATTAGTCTCTAACAGTCCTTTGTAAGAGGAAAATGGACTTTTATATGTCTCTTTTCTTACGATATGTGAGTAGTCTCTAACAACAGTCTGTAACAAGCAATAGATAAATTACTGTGGGTAGACCTGCAAATTAAAAATATGCATATGCAAGCAAGTTCATAGATGACTGAAGGCAGGGTTTGGGGTAATGCAAATCAACTGCATGGACCTTTAAAGAAAAAGAACTGGACAATCTAAAATATCGCACTGAAAAATTTATCTATAAAGAACAAATGTACTCAGGCTAGTGCTAGTGCACAAAGCAGCATGCATGTGAAAGGTTAATCACACAGCAACATAAAACAGAATAATCCCACAAGGAACATACAAAAAAAAACTTTTGGTAGTTGCTATGGAACACTTGATGTAAAGCATTGACTGTAAATGTGTGGCCATGTGTCATGTGTACTCTATCCGAAGTAATCTTTGCATTATTTGTGTTTTCTGCTTACATCGAAAGCTTACTATAAATCAACAGCAAAGCCAAGAATTTGTATATTAGAAACACAAAAGCTGCAATACATTATATATGACTGTGATTTCTTCAATCTATGGGTCCACACACTATAACCTTCACATAGCTTTTCATATTCATTGCTTTGTGTGGAATTCCGTCATGCTTTGTGTTCCTTGTTTACAACAGAGAATCATTCTCGAGTAACTAACTTGTGTGTTCAACTTTGGTATTGTCCTACAGAACTAATGCGGCAGAAAGAGGTTTGTTTTAATAAACTTTAATAAAACCACTTTAGTACAGACAAAGCTCCACAATATAACTTGATGACATCATAATCTTTCCTGTTGTAAATTGCTGCAATCCCCAGTCTCAGATGTAGAATATGAAACATTTATAGACGTGGATGAAGAAGGACCTGTAAAATTCATCTTTTGAGTATTAACAGCTTATTCATTATTTGTTTTATGTTTTCCCAACATCCTGTTTCAATACGCTATTACTTATACACTGTTCTTCAGCCACATGGGTTCGCACATTCTTGTTGGCTGAGACAATACTATTTATATTAAGGACATCCTTAAATCCATATGTTTGAAAGCATCCGAGGCAAGTAGTTATTGTACGTATGCTGAAATCTATCTCCATTGGCTGCAGTCATGAAATGAAGTGACTTAAACAGCAGGCAACATGAAATTTAAAGTGAATCTGTGATCTGCCCATTATATACTCACCTTAATGTTACTCCCTCACCACTTTATTCTGTTTCTGGGAGTCACAACAAAGCTACAAGTCACAGACCAATGGATTACTGTAACAGTGCTAACAGGCCCAGCACGGGTAGGTGGCATGCTCCTTTATACTTAGCTCCTGATGCTGAATGGAAGGTGAGGGGAAATGAATGAAAGGTAAGTATATTCTGCTGGGGATGAGGAGTGTTAAAGAAAACTGCTTGCTTTGCCCTGAGTAGTCAAAACACAGGTAGGTATGTTCAGAAACCACATAGAAATGGGTTTCAAAACTGGGCTCCACTGTGGGTTCATAACACCTTCCAAGCTCTTTTTAAAAAGTGTATGCAATTAAATAGCTCAGAACTCCAGTATTAAATGAAGTGGAGGTTTTCCTGATCAATGTATTGAAAAAGGTTGCAACATTTGTCAGTCCCAGCTCTGTAGAACTAGACTTGCCTAAGTATGGAACACGGTTTTCAAAAATGACAATTACAAACTCAAAATTGCACAATATACAATAATAAAGTATTATTTTTTACTCATTTCAACATATTTTAAAAAAGGCCACTCTGTCAGGCAATACAGGATAGAAACGCAGGATGGTGTACACAGAATTAATAAACATCTTCACACCAATAACAGATACATAAGTAGTACTTAATCAGAGGTTTATGCCATAGAGCATGATGCAAGTAGTATGAGGTAATGCTAGCACAAGATCTGCTCTCCTGGGTATACGCACATGCAGGCACAGAAGGAAAAATTGGGCAATGGAAAGATTGTCAAGAAAATTGTACATACCACACACACACACCAACAAAATGGGGAGCTGGGACAGAAGACAACATAGACACAGAAACTAAAGAAAAAGGGTTAAGTGGTTCCTTAAAGCATAACTGTGATTTTCTAATACGGTCAAAGACATTAGGTTCACTTTAATGGTGGCCCCACCATCAGCACACCTCAGCTTCTCTTGACTCCACGCTGTTTATTCCTCAGGTAAATTGTTCACTACTTCCTCCCATTCAGCAGAAGATTCTGCACCTCAGAGGTCATCATAATCAATTCACAAAGCTTTAGAGCACTTTATGTGCTTTTTCTTGTTGTATTTTTGTTGTCTGTGGAAACGCATCTCATTGACTAATTCACTAAAGGGATTGCCTTGCATTATCAATGCCAATACTGTATGGTATCTCAACTTTTAACAGTCCATTCATAAAGTTTTTTAACAGGTTATCAATAACTTGTCAATAACTTTTTAACAGGTTATGCCACTGGCTTCTCATTGGTTGGTAATAGTAGTGATGAGATATCCGTTTACGAGAGCGGGAAAAAGAACTACCTGAGGTAGTACTGATTCTGAATTTAACAGCTTTTGTATGGCAAAAAAACACACATATGTGATATTTATGTGTGTGATATTAACATTTTAATGAGCAAATTATTACTATTGAAAACTATGAATTAAAGTAACTCATGCATTTTAGCAATCTGAATTTGCTGAACTCTATAAAGAATGCCAGCAGAACAAACACTGTTGCCTATGAACAAAAGAGCAGTGAGTGATATAAAAATATTTTTCTGCTGCCTTCATATACTAGCACTTTCCTTAACCCCAAGGCACTGCTATTTGTTTGTTGCTAAATGAGAAATATGCAGTTGCATTAAGGGATATATAAAAATGTTCTTCAGAAAGATCCTGATAAATCTTGATCTATGTCGAATTCTACCATCTAAACAAAACATCAGAGTACATGCATGTATTGTTGATACATGTTTTTTGCCAATAGAGAACTGAATATTGCTGATACCTTGCTCACACTCTCAACACTGTAGGGTTAATAATTCCTTATGGATGTATACAAACAGAGTACAAATTTCAGTAGCATCACAACAATGTTTTCCACTTCCTGAATCTGTCATACCTAATATTTTAAAAAGTAAAACTTGACCTACAATTTGTCTGTCCAGCCATCATGGATACAAGAGTGAGCAATACTACACATTAAGTTACTTTGTTTGATGCTGCAGTCTTTGAGATGATGTTGATGATCTCCACTAAGTAAAACGTTGAATCCCTACCTCAGGAGCAGCCCAGGCTAAATCAAACTGTGCATTACAGCCTTGAACCTATAGTAATTTTGCCAGTCGGATGAGCTAAATAAGTCTAATGACACCTAGAACAATTATGTAAATTATGGATTGCAAATATAACTAAACAAATAAAGTACATACAGCCAAAACTGTGATGCTTGAGCAAATGCTGGCAATGTATATTCTGCATGTTAACCACCAAGATATCTCTTCTTTAAAGCAGTTGTTCTTTTTATGACAAGTATTTGATTCATTATTCAAATTTCTGCATTCTGTTGTTTACTGCAGGGCTTTGGAACCAAAGGGGGGGGGGATATTTCTTACTGCTAAATTAAATACAGAATTATTGTGTGCAACATGTGCCTTTGGAAACCTAGTTATTACCTCTTAAAAGTACCATGAAATCATCTTTGTGGTGTACACCAAGCCTGTGCAGAGAGCAGAACT